TGGAGGGTCAAGTTTGGACTACACGTTGTGTGATTGGATTGCGACGCGCAATCTCAGTATAGTGACTAAGGCTCACTTCAATGTGAACCACAGTCCACTATACTGAGATTGCGCGTCGCAATCCAATCACACAACGTGTAGTCCAAACTTGACCCTCCAATTAGTCATTACCGTTGTGACAAATAGGGTTGCCCACCGTGACCCGGTAGCCAAAGGGGTGGTGGTGTGGGCTACTATTCCAATGGTCGCGGGATCGAGGCCTCCTGTCTCCACCTGATGAGATGAAATTACGTCGAAACGCGTCGTGGTTGTGCAGTGTTTTCTGGTGGGCATCACCCAATTTCTATCTACCATGAGTACGGTCCCAGTGATCGCCTTGGCTGAAGCCTTATTCCATGTGAACCACAGTCCACTATACTGAGATTGCGCGTCGCAAACCAATCGCACAACGTGTAGTCCAAAATGGACCCTCCAAAGAATCACATGATCTTGCAAAATGGACTGGACAAAGCTTTCACGTTGTCCATTGAGAACATGTGCCGCTTCAACGCAGCCAAATGAAACTTCTGAGCATAAGCCATCGGGGTGCTCACGACGACTGACTAGGCCTACAAATTCTACAGCGCGTTTCACATGGTGCGATCTCAGCTTGTGCCTGTAACCTGACCTCGGTTGTTTGATAAAGACGGAATACACTTCAAAGGAAGCAAACTAGCAGTTCGGCCTCATCCGGAGGGCAGTTGGGAACTTCGGCGCTTCAATCTTCTCAAGAAAGCTTGGCGCGTAGTTGACGTCGCACATGGGATATGCTATTCAAGTGTGGAAATCCTTGCACAAGCACTGCCTCACCGCGCTCGGGACTGCACAAGGCAGGGCGACGAAGAACCCGGAAGGTTTGTCCCACCTTCCCTATTCGCACAGGCTGAAGACTGTTAGTGTACCGCGGGTTATCAGCGCTTAAGAGACGATGCCATAATGGTGTATCAGTTACACACACATTTGCTACTATCTTTTGCAGGTCAGCCAAAACACATCTCCGAGGCGCCATCAATTCAAGCTGGCCATGTAAAACCGCCGATTGGAATGTCGACGAAACTTTTTCTCCCTCCTGATGTCAACTCCCTGGATCACTCCCAGTGCATATAAGCAATGATCCCACTTTATCACCAAATAAAAACTGATTTGATGACGAACTGACACCTTCGCATAACGTGATTTAGCACGTGACTAGCAATTGGCGGTCTTAGTGCAAAACAAATAGTGGATGTTATTAAACTAACACTTAAAATGCAGCAAGATACTTACACCTGTGCTAATGTAAACCACTTGTTGAGTCATGTATCACGCGTCATCTTTTATCGGTGCTGGTTTTTACCTCACAGTTTTCACCCTTACTAACTTACTGGCCTTATAATGTGTCTGCTTCTTTACCAGTCATGAACCACTACTCCCTCATCCCCACTGACCGGATCTTCATAATTCGATATGTCCTACAATTTCTAAGCTGCCTCTTTTCGTGTTCCAATACTTTGCTTTGCTTTTGCTATTGATTCGCTTATACCACTCACACCTCTACTTAACTCTCATGGGTCCAGCCATGTGCTTGCATTTGATACGTTGCAATTCTAAAGCCTATTGATTTGATTGTAACGCGCGTATGTGAAGACAGTTTTCCCTACATAGGTTCCGGTGCAACTCTGCTCCGTTACTTTTTCGGGATACAACACCTCTGTAATCGCACGACAGTGTATCATCCCCAAGCCAACAGATTAGTAGGACATTGAAATAGACCGCTTCAAACTTGATTGGCGCCGCCTCGGGCTCTAATTGGAGGGAAAACGTTTCATTTGTGCACATAGGTATTCGCCACGGCCTCCAAGCTGACTTGTAGTGCGCAAATGCGGCGTTGGTTCACGGTAAAAGACTAAATTTGTCGAGTAAATTTGTTTCACTTCCCGCATTGTTGTACATGCTCCATTTAACTTCACATCATTTCTTGCTCAACACATGTCCGCAACGTAGGAGTCCGCCTAGTGAGCAGATCGGAGATATGAAAATACACAGCGGACTGTCTACCTGCACTAAAGTCTTCGGCCACACTGGCACAGTGCGGAGCTCCCAACATCTTCCCTACATAGTGTGCTGGTAACTAGTGAGCGAGCAACGACAGTTCCTTACGCGCGTCAGCAATCGTTGGACAAACAGACAGACCCAAGCTATCAAAGCCAACTCGCGTGTCAGCCTCAGTGCGTTCGATCGAGTGAGCGAGATTTTAAACATCACAGCTAAGTGTACAGATTCTCAAAATTGAAATCGAGCGCTTGTGTGCGGATCCCGTGTGTTTTCTTGCTCTGATGCGACTGGGTGACCCAGGAACACAACACATAGACCCTTCCAGCCTACTGCGGCAAACTCCGAGACATTTCTCTCTAGACTAGATTGGTAACTAAACAATGGTGCCCACAGACCGCTAAAAATTGATGTTCTTTGGTTACCTACTTCTAACCCATCTTGTTGCTTTCGCACATGTATTCTCATATGTGGTGACGTCTCAAACACTGGATAACCAGAAACCTTCTGTTCCCCCTGACTGTCCGCCTACCCAGCCGTAAGCCTAATCAACTGACCGACGAGATATAAAGGACAAATGTCCTGTCCCTTTCACATATTTTGTGATGGACATTTATTTTCAGCAAATTCTATGCATCTCTCCAGATTCGGACATTACTTTATTTGCCAAGATAGGACGAATGCCCCAGTGTAGTATGAAGACAAATGTCACGATGTTTTCCTAGGAAAAGTTTTGGAACCGCACACCAATTTTTGGATCCTGTTTTTGTTTATATGGTTCGCATATGCGAGACTGCCCGCACCTGTGTCGTTTGTTTAGCTCGACCTACGTATCATTGAAATGCCTAGATTGGAAAGATCCAGTTTCGCCACTCCCAGCCTTATCAGGTGTGTAAAGGATATTGGGTGTATGCAAACTCTGTTGTTACACATAATGGGATGAGGCCCAACTGTAGTGTCTTAGAATATTTCCAACAACAAGCGTGTTTCCCACCTTTGGCGGCAATGGTGCGTTGCACCCACAGACGTCTTGCAAAATCGACAAAATGCTCCAAAGCACTTTAAATGTCCCAAAAAGCGTACTTGCTGTTGAATTACAAGGCATGTGCACTCTCCGGCGCCAAGCCCCAACCCAGGACCTATATCCCACCTCGCTTGAGTGCTACCTTTAATAATTCCACCCACCCAAATAGCAAAAGCAACCTTTGAGTTACTCGCCAGTCGGCTCAAGCCACTCTCTGATTCAGGTATCACCCAGTCGCCCTTAATCTCAAATGACGACAACCAGATTAATCCCCAAACGGTTGGCTATGTGAGTTGGCAGCAGATGCTCGGACTTCTTCGTGGGATGCAGAACGCATCGAACACGGACTCGGGTGCGGTGAGGAAGTGACACCTGTCAAGCGCACCATCATGCCAACAGCGAAGGACCTAGTTTATAGATTAGCCAATATTTGCAGCCTGGGGTACCCGTGCTAATTGCCCAGAGATGATATCCTCCGGTTCACACAAAAGTAATAGGGAACAAAACAACCTGGAACCAGCAAACACCGCAAAACACCACATTTTTGGATCCCATATTCCACCCCCTTGTTACTCCTTGCACACATCCTCGCTTCCTGCCTAACCTGTGACTGCGCTAGCAAATACATCCAATGCATAGCATTCTAAAAGGAGGCACTTGTAGTGAATCTTCAGCGCGTACTCTTTGAGTAGTTCACAACATTAGGTTTAATTGGTCGTTATACCTTTTGACTGTTTTTGTTTTGCTGAGTTTACATCCCTACCAACATTTTGCCTATGAATCCTGTGCTACATGGCTCTTAGCTCTTGCTGATTCTTCTCTCGTTCCTAGTGGACTATTGAATGTATGTTCGGACCAGGTGCATCTCTACTGCTTTTACCGTTCCGTATTGGGTACGTCACTTACCCGTGATCCCTGTAGACTATGCGCCCCCAACAAACTAGAGGACCTAGTGGATATTTTTCCACCGGAAAGCACATAATCCCAGGCTTCGTTTTAAGATTGGCTGTCCTGGATTACAGTACCGTCAGCCAACAAATATGAAAATCTTCCTGTTACATCTGTCGCACTACCCGGTGTGGCCGCAGAACATTTCACTGCGAAACGTGTAAAATCTGTCATTTCCAGTCTAGGCACATTTGAGTAGCCAAACGCTTGGCAATGAAAGTTTGAAATTTCGGACACATGTCAATACAAAGCATTTTATATAACTGGCATTATGTGCAACGTTTCTCTATTGACGCATTAGTTTCTTCAGGTTAGGTAATTCAGTAAAGAATTGCTTTAGTATTTTATAGGAACTAGGGTGAAGATTGAGAGGAATAACACGAATAAGTTGATGAAAGCGTTACAAGTCATAGGCCATTGTAGTAAAACAATAAGCATGGAGTGCACCCAATTAAACCGCGTCACCGGTCGTCCACATGTGAAGCTTACCTGTTCCTCTTGCTGATGCTTCACGCTCCGATCGGAGTTCGTCCGCCGACATCTTTTCTGACTGGCTGAGTTAAGATGGCCCGCCACGTATTTTATGACTCTACCCCGTCGGTCCTGTTCACAGTTATTTGTCTTAGTAATATCAACCGCCTTAACAATCGACCTTTGACTTGTTGTTCGTAATCTTCGCCCAATTATCTCGACATTGTTCCAGTTGACTCGGACCTGTAGCAGTATTATACAATGATTCGTGTTATTTCTTGCAATATTCACCCTACCTTGCATAAAACACTGAGCCGTTTTTGTATCGATTCACTTAGCTTGAAGTAGCTCTTGAGTCAAGATCGTAGCATTGTCACAATAGAAACTTACAAAAATACCCATTCGTATACAAAACCTTCTACGAACATGAAATCCTAGTCGTTGCTAAGTCTGTTCCGAGTGTGAAACTTCCTTCTAACTTGACTGTGGTACTGTTCGGCACAAATCAGTAGTACCTTTGAAACGCTACTTCGGTACTCGTAAATGGGAAGGTGATTTGAAAGCTGCGTCGGCCGCATTATGAAGTACCCAAAATCTTTCGTGAAAGGAAAGTGAAACTGTATTGCTGTTTGGTTTTGGAACGGATTCATCCAGTGAGATACACAATGAAACATTGATGGGTAGTTAAAAACGACGAAAAGTTTTGCTACATACATGGTGGGCCAAATGAATGAGGTTATTCTACTCAAGGAGATCGATTGTTCAGGTTACAGTAAGTGGAGTGTAAAGATAAGGAAAGTTTACCGATTCACGACCGCATATAAAAAATAGCTAAGGCAAAAATAACTACTTTTGTGAAGTATCAAATCCGCTGCAGTTGGAATTGACAACTGCCATAGTATAATCGGAGCAGTGAGGGCTACAGCGTATCAGATATTGTGAATGTGCTGGACGAATCCGCAGAGGAGGATCGAAGTGGTTATTGACTTCAAGACGGACCGTTTCTTCAATGGTTCCACAGCATTGCACAAGTCTGTGTCACAATGGCAATGTTGTGTTCGAACGCCTTTTGTGCCCACCCGATCAATACATCCAATCCTGTCGGCCAGATTGCTGCATTGTCTGAGCACAGTTGTCTCACCCACTTGAAAAGTGAAAGAGATAAATCAACGAATTTAACTGAAACACATCTGTTTAACACTGCACAAGTCCACCACCTTTATGACACACATGTGTGAGTTCCATAACAGACCAACAGTAAAATCGGCAAATTTACTAGGAACGGGGGGTTTTATCGTAAAGGTGAACAACTGAGATCGGACTTTAACTTATGAGATATCGTGTAAAATTCAGATGGCGCAAACTCACATCGAATGAGCAAAGTAGGAAAATAATTCTAAAGTTGGAATCATGTTAGACTACACTAGAGAATGGTATTTTTTAAAATATCGAATGTTCGAAAACCTCAGACCTTACTCCTGAACAGAATTTAACAATCGCTACCCCAAGTTTATCCCAGGAAACTTGCCTGCAAAATGTATTTAGAGACACGTAGCTGCATTATGATTAAAAAGAGGTTTTGTGAGAAGCTAGAAAGTCATTTACGGGACATTAAAAACAACACTTCATTCACTGGTTCGTAGTAGCCATTATGTAATGCGGCAAAAGTTTTGCTTCGCTGGTTTACTACATGACGACAAAGACATAAGCGTATAGGGGGAACCCGTAGTTGCTCGTGTAGTTTCTTAATTGTCTGTACTTATTCGTGTATTGACTCGACAAATCAGAAAGACTTTTTTGATGCATGAACCTACAAGATGTTATCTGGCCACGTGTTCCATACCTTTACCAGGCTGAAGAATACCCCAATGTTAACAATTTCCAGCAAGATGAGACCGCTATCGTTCGCTTTTCCGATGTCGAAGGCAATCCGATTGAATTGAGCTGTGATGAAGTACGCTTAACCAAGACGCTGATGGTGCGGCTTATTAAAATTTTCCTGATAAACTCAGTCGTGTCTGCACTGCATCAAGGTAAATACACACAGACGCCGTGCGTACCGGCATGTACCATTGGTGGTAAGACACTGGGCATTGTGGAAGGTTTTGTCTACCGGAGTGGCAGCATGAATGCTGCTGCGCTTGTTGGAGGGGCGTTTTTCATGCGCATCTCAAGTCTTCCTCTCGCTATCTCTAAGTTGAAACATTTCTGGCGACGCCAAGAAATTCGCATACCTAACAAAAGGCGGGTTTATAGTGCTGATGTCCTCGCTTTTTTGTTGTGAGGTTTCAAGGTGAAGCCTCTTTGTATCATTGACCTGCGCCAATTGTCTGTCTCTGGGCACCATTGTTCGCGGTTCATCGCCCGTGTGCAATGGATACAACACGCAATTAGTTTGGAATTTAGACATCGTGTCTATAGAGACGAACCGGACACTCGCTCTAGCAGCTTGTCTTATGGCGCTGGCTTAGACACGTATTGCCCATGTCAGTTCAACATCTTCCGCTTCTGGCGTTGCTTACGGTTGCTATGCAGGACTACGAAATGTAGGGCAATGGATAGCCTACAACTTGGACATGCAGCACGAAATGATAGCGAAAAGGTTAGGTTTAGCTCGTTATTCTGGACTCGCTGTTTAATGTCACAGAGATGACGAGTGCAGTAGATTGGAGACCTTACAAATCATGGCTCACGACAAGAATGATTGCTGGACATGCGGCTTAATTTGTTTCCATCATCCCCATTCTCCCCTCTAGTATAATAAAATGGTCAGTAAAAGTAAAAGTGATCAGGTTGAAACTGAAGAAAACGCAGTATATTTTCTTCTTATTCAAATCCTGTTTTCAAATTCTGCCATTAATCAGATGGGGGAGCATTTGTAAATAACCATGAACTGCGCTTACATTGTAGTGAAATGACAATTAAATAATTAATTCGGAGTTCAGCTAATTTCGATTGTCACTATTGTATGAGCGCAAGACATCCGTAATCCGTTTGGTTACATTCTGTTTGGCCTCTCACAATACACACTAATGACTTTAGAACGTTGACAGGAAAGGCAATTTGCAGCCCATTCCTTGATGTCTCTGTTCATGTTTGGCCATACGTATCGTTCTGAGATGAGACGGATGGATTGGCGGATTCCTGGATGTGAAACATTGTGAAAAGTTTCAGAAGCTTGTCAGCGCATAGATGGTGGTACCAATGGACGTGGTAGATGCGTCGAAACATCACATTCGATTGTTCCAGGATGTGTATAGAGAGGGAGTGGTTTTAACACAAGTGAAAATTTCTCAGTGGGTGATGAGAATGATTCGGATGATTCTGTCTTCTGAGCCTTCGCCATCTGGTGTAAATCGATTGCGGAAACACAGTCAACACCAGCACGAGACAGAGGATCTGCGACTACCTTTTGGTTGCCTGCAACATGCCGGATATCAGTGGAAAACTGAGAGATGTAATCAAGTTGGCGAGTCTCTCGGGGCGAATATTTGTCAGGATTAGCAGAAAAGGCTGAAGCAAGAGCTTTATGGTCTGAATAGATGAAAAATTCACGGCCTTCCAAAAGATGTCGGAAGTAACGCACAGCTAGGTAGATGGCCAAAATTTCTCGACCAAATACACTATACCGCGTCTCCATTGGCTGAAGTCTCTTGGAGAAGAAACCAAGTGGTTGTTTCTGGTGGTCAACGGTTTGATGAAGAACAGCCCCTACTGCAGTGTTAGATGCATCGACCTGAGGAGACAAGGGGGCATCTTGGCGCACATGAAACAAGGTACATTGTTTCGCCAAGGTACATTTGGCTTTCTCAAATGCTTGTTGAGCTTGTTCAGAAAAATGAAAGTCAGAGTGAGTTTGTCTCAACTGGTCAGTCAAAGGCATCAACATAGCGGCTGCATGAGGAATAAAACGACGATAATAATTAACCATTCCAAGAAAACGCTTCAGTTGACGAAGAGAAGTGGGACACGGAAATGAGATCATAGCATCTAGCTTAGGTTGTGCGGGAGTAATGCCATGCTGATTAATCGTATGTCCGAGAAAATTTAAAGAGGAAACACTAAATTCACATTTCTAAACGTTTAGTACTACGCCATGATCTTGTAGGCGTTGAAACAGTATGCGATGATGGGTAATGTGTTCATCATGGGTTTTGGAAGCAACGAGAATAACAGAATACAAAATCCAGATTGTGGAGAACTTGGTCAATAAAACCTTGAAAGGTCTGGGCAGCATTCCTTAAACCAAAGGGCATAGGCAAATACTCAAATAAACCAAAAAGACTGGTAATAGCTGTCTTGTGCACATCATCGGGGTGAATAGGGATATGATGATATCCTCTGAGAATGTCAGTGTGTGAGAAAACTGTACAACCGGTAATGTTCGCAGTAAAATCGTGGATATGAGGAAGGGGATATCTATCGGGGATAGTGGAGTTGTTTAAGGCTCGATAGTCCCCACAGGGACGCCAATCAGACTCAGCCAAAATCTGTCAGGTACTACCAACATACTAATAGGTCATGCATACTGGGGTAGGAGTAGATGCCAACTAAATGGACTTCTCAACAGCACTTAAAAGTATGGATAATCGTATTCTACTTCAAATGCTTCGGTTATGGAATTGGCGCTCCCGCTCTGAGCTGGGTAGGTAACTTTCTCTTTCAGCGCCATGGGAACTTGATGGTCCGCAGCCCCTTATCCGAACCCATCCAAGTAAAGTGCGGCATATCTCAGGGCTGGGTACTCGGGTCACGCCTGTTGCTGGTCTTCATAAATAATCTAGCCTTGGGGCGCTTTTTTACGTTTTAACTCTTTGCCGACGATATGGTGATATCCCTACAATACAGAATCACATGATGGATAGAAATTGGGTGTTGCCCACCAGAAAACACTGCACAACCACGACGCGTTTCGATGTAATTTCATCTCATCAGGTGGAGACAGCAGGCCTCGATCCCGCGACCATTGGAATAGTAGCCCACATCACTACCCCTTTGGCTACCGGGTCATAGTGGGCAACCCTATTTGTCACAACGGTAATGACTAATTGGAGGGTCAAGTTTGGACTACACGTTGTGTGATTGGATTGCGACGCGCAATCTCAGTATAGTGGACTGTGGTTCACATTGAAGTGGGCCTCAGTGATCGCCGTGACTGAGGCTCACTTCAATGTGAACCACAGTCCACTATACTGAGATTGCGCGTCGCAATCCAATCACACAACGTGTAGTCCAAACTTGACCCTCCAATTAGTCATTACCGTTGTGACAAATAGGGTTGCCCACTGTGACCCGGTAGCCAAAGTGGCAGTGGTGTGGGCTACTATTCCAATGGTCGCGGGATCGAGGCCTGCTGTCTCCACCTGATGAGATGAAATTACGTCGAAACGCGTCGTGGTTGTGCAGTGTTTTCTGGTGGGCAACACCCAATTTCTATCTGCTTTGAGTACGGTCCCAGTGATCGCCGTGACTGAGGCCCACTTCAATGTGAACCACAGTCCACTATACTGAGATTGCGCGTCGCAATCCAATCACACAACGTGTAGTCCAAAATTGACCCTCCAAAGAATCACATGATCTTGCAAAATGGACTGGACAACGCTTACATGTTGTCCATTGAGAACATGCTCCACTTCAACATAGCCAAGTGATAGTTCTGCGCATAAGCCATTGGGGTGCTCACGACGACTGGCTAGGCCTACAAACTCTACAACGTGCTTCACATGGTGCGATCTCGGCTTGGGCCTGTAACCTGACCTCGGTGGTTTGATAAAGACCGAATACACTTCAAAGGAAGCAAACTAACAGTTCGGCCTCATCCGGAGGGCAGCTGGAAACTTCGTCGCCTCAATCCTCTCAAGAAAGCTTGGCGCGTAGTTGACGTCGCACATGGGATATGCTATTCAAGTGTGGAAATCCTTGCACAAGCACTGCCTCACCGCGCTCGGGACTGCACAAGGCAGGGCGACGAAGAACCCGGAAGGTTTGTCCCAAATTCCCTATTCGCACAGGCTGAAGACTGTTAGTGTACCGCGGATGTTATCAGCGCTTAAGGAGCGATCCCATAATGGTGCATCAGTTACACACACATTTGCTAAGATCTTTTGCAACTCAGCCGAAACACATCTCAGGGGCGCCATCAAT